CCCCAAAACCCCAAAACCCCAAAACCCCATTTCGAATATAAATTATTGAAATATCATGAAGGAAGAAAACGACCAGAGCTCTTGTTACCAAAACCCCAAAACCCCAAAACCCCAAAACCCCAAAACCCCATTTCGAATATAAATTATTGAAATATCATGAAGGAAGAAAACGACCAGAGCTCTTGTTACCAAAACCTCTCACCAACGTCAATAGTAAAGCTAGATTCTGACTTAAATTTCATGATAAATTCTTCGTATTACAAAAACTCAAGCCCAAAGGTGAGTTCGGGTCTACCTTCAGTTGATATTTTAGGGTGCAATATAAAGCATCATGATATGCACCACTGAGAAAGCTGGAACACAGACAGTTTTCATCATATTTCTAAGAATTCAAGGAACGTTCCCTTAGGAGAACAAGGAAATGTATTCCTTTTTCGTCATTTTTAGCATAATACTCCAGGGACTATGAAGAATCCTAATTTAAACGCTGATATTAATCCTTCAGTTAATATTATGACCAGGATAAAGAACTCGAATAAAGTTTTCTCTAGAGGAACTTCCACTGGTTCTTCAGAAAATTCAGTGGAATCTGTTAGCTCAGTGAAGCCCCTTAATATTAAGAGAGAGGCAAGGAGGTTTGTAAAAGGGGCTTGCTCTTTTCTAGATTTTCTCCTCAATCTTTCGACAGGCTCTTATACTATCAAAGCAAGGCTGGCAAGGCCAGCAAGTGCAATTTCCAAGCAAAGAGATTAAAAAAATTCCATAAAAATATCAAGTTACTTGCAGATAAGAGTAAATAAAAGCTTTATCGGGTATGTAACAACTTGATCTTAGTGTAACATTTTTAGACGCAGAAATAACAGAAGGGCATTATCCCCAAATCTCTTCAACTCACAATCTAATCTTACTCTTCTCGAACCAAAAGAATTGCCTAAAAGGCAAAATAAGAACGAAAAGAAGTGGAATAAAAGACTTATAGAGTCAGAACTCAGGCAAGGAGCTATAGAAAACTCGGTCTCTAAAAGACAAAAAGAGGAATTCATGAAGGTAACTACCCTAGTCTACAATAAATAGTTCAGAACAAGGTATCTTTCAAAGACCAAAAAGAAGCCCATAAATCCTCTATTCTCTTCATTCAGCCCAATGCTGAGCAAGTCCCAAATCTTACACCAAAAACATAAAATTCGGAATCTGATGAGCAAGACTAAAAATTTTAAGGCAAATCAAGGAGCAATCAAAGTCGTTGGAGAATTTGAAAAATACCTCAAAGATATCGAAATGACTCGTGATGAGAAGGAGAGGCACCAAGCAATTGGGAATATGTTTTGTCAACTTGCGACCACAGGGAAGAAGACTGATAACTTTACTAAGATATCTAATGAAATCAATCTTGCTTATAAATTACCTGAAAAACCACCTAAAAAAACCCAAGAGTAAATTTATAGTAAAGAGTTTATAGGAATAAGAAAGAAGAAGCTTTACCCAAGACTGACAAAGAGCTGATGGATGAGTTTATCATGGAATTGATTCAACAAAAAGGACTAGAAGTTATTATTAATCGCAAACCTAATACAAATGAAGAAGAGAAAGATACAAAACATGGGAAGGATACTTTAGTGGTTTCTAAGCCTTTAAATCTACATCTTAACAACTCGCAATCTTTTAGCAACATAAAATCATTGAGTAAGGTTTCCTTCTTCATTGTCATTTAATTTGACCATTTTTATGCCCATGGTTTAAGAGAAATTCTATAGAAAATAGCTCGGAATCATCATTTGCAGTGCGCCATCCAATCCATCTTCGGAACATCAAATCAGACAATAACATAGTGTTAAATCTGAAGAGCTTGAATAGGCCTGATGGACAGATAACATTTACTGAAAATGCAGATATATTTAAGCAGAAAAAATCTAAAAGAGGGCTTAAGGATAACTCTAAAAGAAAACCTCTCAAGAAGAACATCAAACCGAAGAAAGCTGTTAAAGCTAGGTAGCATTATCTGGTTGATAAATTATCTCATCGTAGCTCAAGTTTGCTAGTCATACTTTATATATTTATTCTAACCAAGAGGTTCCTTTGAAAGACTTTTTGATGAGAATATAGACTTTGCTAATTCATATTTAGGTACTTATCACATTTCTTGATGAATTCCCAAGAGGTAAGTGTAAAATTGCACTGAAGAATTTTCAGACTTTACAAATAAACATCCAGATTATTCGAAATTTCCCAAAGTTTTTTAAAATTCTTCAAAATCTGTCCTCCCAATTACTCTCTAAATAGCCCCCAAATGATCTATCCTACCCCAATTTCCTCATCCCAAACCTTCCCCCTCTTCTTTCTTTTCCAAAGGGCCAAAATATCTCCTAAAAATTGTGCAGTTTTTCCCTTCACCCGACCAGATCGAGGGCAAACTCAGCCATGAGTTTTACCAGCTTGCAAGAGATGAAGAAGATATTAAGCAGCTGAGAAAGTAAGAGATTTGGGTTTAAAGTGGCTTTAGAGAGACTAAAGAGCTCTGTGAGAAACATCGGTAGGTTTAACCTCCCAAAAGTCTAGCCTCCACCAGCCCTAACCCAACCGACCACCAAGAAATCAGTACGCTCCAGTCAACCCTTTAGCACAAATCCTGAAAAACTGAGGAGAAGACCAGTCATCTTAGGAGGTAAGTTACCCCACCAGAGATTATGAAGTTGGGCAAAATAGAAATTTCTGGTATAGTGACTGCAGACATAATCGAGAAACTTAAGAATGATAACTTCAAGCTGTCAGTGTTTTGATGTAATAATAGTAAGGAGAGTGGTGAGGTTTAGCCAAGTTGAAAATATGGAAGCCAAGCAAGTTTATGATATCACGCAAAGCTAATGTAGTAGAAACCTATGACCAATTACTAGACAAACAATAAAAATTTCAATGTTGATTAAATATCAGGGGTTTTGGGGTTTTGGGGTTTTGGGGTTTTGGGG